GTTCAGGCACAAAACCAATGCCCAATCTGGTAGCTCAATCTTTAGGAACCATATAGGTTATGTTCTGGCATGCCACTCATTGAATGAAGAATGGATGAACATGGTTGAAAAAGTGAAGGCTGATGATAGTCATTCGGCCTGGTCGAATCCCAAGTCATGGGACACAACACGCCTGTCATCATGACTCGAAAATGTGATGGTTGAAACCTCTCAACTGCTTTGCCTGCAGACTTAACTGGAAAACAAAGCCCACTGGGAGTCTGACCTGAAATGAGGCACTTGCAGCGCCCATGGAAAAGGTCCACGCCTGTAAGCAAACTTGGAAGCCCCTGAGCTGAGTTGCTGGTGCCCCAGAAGACTTGTGCTGTTGACACCAAAAACATGCAGAGCTGAACGCAATTGGCCAAGTCAGCTTTCTCACAATTGGTTGGTGGCATCAAGAAGAAACCATGTGTGGAACAAGAACTCAACAAATGCAGCCGGACAAATTGAATCCGAGCCTGCTCGAGGAAAAAAGCCCAAGTGCATGCTGCCAGCCTGCACCGAGTCGAACCACTGGATTGACCCCATCAAACTTGGTCTTCCAAACCCAGCACCAAAAGCATGTGACACGCTCAACACCCCATCAGCCAGGCCTCCATCTGGATTTGGTTACTTTTGAAGGCGATGAAGAACATGTGGAAGACGATGAAGAACATGTGGTGCCTGGGCATGTGCACGGATGAGTCCAGCACAAAAACAAATCCAACTGACCAACGCCCAAATTCACTTACAAGGCCAGAAAGGACCAATTTCAGTTGCAATCAGTGAGGGGCCTCAATCAGTGACAGGCCTACAGTAAAAATATCAGTGACAGGCCTCCAAAATGACTTACATGATTTTGATTGAATCTTTAATTTCATCGAATCTTTAGAGCGCTGTAAATCGAGCTGAGAATGATATCACCAAATTCGATTGCAAAACTGTAGTCTACCGTCTGAGTTGCCAAAGCAACCCTCGTCCTCATGGATCCAGCAAAAAGCAATCCCTACAATTGCACATTCCAAACACCCCTAGAAGCCAGGTTCAAGTTGTTCGATCGCCAACCCTGCCTGTCAGCAACGCTCGAAATCATTGCAACGCGCCATGTCCGTATAGATGGTCAACTTGACCATGAAACGTTCCATGACTTGCCAAATTTCAGTTTGCACTTACCAATAGATAGCAGGATGCGCAGAATATACTTAGCCATGAGCGGAACAGCAGGTGATGGTCATAGGGAAGAAGTTGCTACAGGAACTAATTTTAAAAAACATCAGTGGACACAGTAGTGAACGATTTCCTGAGGCATTCAACCTTTGAGTTCAGCAGTCCAGTTACAATGCCCTTGCACTGGCTGGTTTCTTAGGGCTGGCCTGTTCAAATCGAGTGGCAACGGGCGGCCGACCGAACATTGGAACTGCGAAAAAGAGCTGTGAAGGACTCAAACTTCAAACCACTCTGTGTGACCGACAACAATTCAAAAAATATCCTCCCACAGTGTCGGCCACAAAATCTGAATTTCTCACTATGACCCCGATGCAGCCAAACCAAAGCTCGAAGTGTGTAAACCACTAATCTAAGAACAGCAATTGGGGAGGGGTCATCGCCTTGCAAGTTGCAACCTTCTTTCCTGCCAGTACACACATTGCCTGTGCCAAACCCTGGTGATGGGTATAATATACCCCCTGTTAAATTTAGACCACAGATTCTCCCAGCAGCTTTCACAGCACCACTGTAAGAAGTTGCCTCCAAACTCCAACAACTCTGACACACTTCAGGCATGTGTGGTGACCAGTTCTCGCAGCAGCTTTCACAAGACCAGTGTAAGAAGTTGCCTCCAACAACTCTGACACATCTCAGGACATGTGGGCTGATCATGTGGGATGACCAGTTCCACAGCAGCTTTCACAGCACCATTTACAAAGAACAAAGCATCAGATACAAAGATCAGAGTTTTGATCCGCTGGTCCGCTGATCCGCCGGCAATGGTTGGACAATACGACGGCCATGAGTGTCCAGATGGGCACCTTTTGAGGTCACCCTGGCTAATTTTTGCACTTTCTAAATTGATTTGATCATAGTTAATCATGTTTAAGCATAAAATTGCCACCAATAAGATGTAAAATGATTCGGAATAACTCAAATAAGAGTAAAAATGACACAAATATGATTAGAAATGATTTTGAACAAATTTTCCCACCGAGTAAAAGTATGAGTGAACCAAAAGTGTTTTCACGAGTAAGTCCACGAGTGGAGACACGAGTGAATTTGCAGTGAACTTGCAAACAAAATGAAAGTTCAACATTTCCTTTTGCGATAAGTTGACGAGTCGAGCGACAAGCCAACTTACAAAACAGAATGAAGTACAAACGGTTCCTTACGATAATCGACGAGGCCAGGAGCACAGTGCTCCTGGCCTCGTTGAAAGTTTTTGAAACCAGAAAGTTTTGGCTGAAGAGAGCTCTGCGCTGGCAGGGATTGTGACAAAGTAAGGTTTTTGAAACTAGTCAAGTATTGGCTGAAGGCATTGAGTAATCTTTTGAACCTAGTCAAGTTTTGGCTGTTCTGGCAGGGGTTGTAAGATTTTTGAATAGTAATAATAGTTACAGGTAAATTTTTTGGTGAGCGCTGTGCTGGCAGGGACTGTTACTATAAGATTATTGAATCTAGTCAAGTTTTTGCTGAAGAGCACTGGAACCGTAACAAGTATATAAGTTTTTTGAAACTAGTCAGGGTTTGGCTGAAGAGCACTGCGCTGGCATGGATTCCAAACAACATCAAGCTCAGTCAAAAATGCAGTAGGGCTCCATGTTTGGTCTAGGTTAAAATTGAACAATGCGCGACAAGACATTCGGCTCAATAAGCATCAACCTCATCAAACAAGTCATGGCCATCCGATGTTGATTTCATTATGATTCACCCGGCTGGCACGTACGAAGTGCACTGCTATTCAGTTTACTGTGCTGCAAGCCTGAGTCCCATGACATGGAATCATAGCAGTCAAAACATGCTTGAAAATATCAAGGAATGTCGCAGGCCGGAAATACACATTTTTTGATCAAAGAGACATGTTCAAAGGGATCGCTCGCAATTAATTATGCCAACTTGCCCAACAACTTTTGGCGGGCACCATGTGAAGAACCTGATTCATAATTCATAGAGCAAAGTATTGCAGTCGAGTGGTGACAAGTTGTAATACATATCACTTTCGCTGACACATTTTGGGCACAATGTAACGTAGCAAACTTTCAATCCGTCCTCCACATGCTTGCATTGACCTGTGACATGGAACTTGTGCCCAGTCTCTGTCATAAACACAAGTCTGCTAATATTTGTGCACTTTTTTGACACAAATAGGATAAAAGCTGATGTGCCCGCAGATTTCATCACCAATAAGATTTGAAGTGCACTGAAGTGCAAAGAAGTGACACAAAAGTGCACTGAAGTGCATACAGGTGACACCAAAGTGCAAAAAAAGTGCAACTCCAGCTCCGGAAAAATAGAATACAACAGTATTCAACTAGTATTCAACAGTATTCAGTATTCATTCAGTATTCCAGTGCAAAATCCTCCGTGCCCATCTGGAGGGTCAACTTTGGTTTGGGGAAATCAGCCAACCCAAAACCAAATCCACCAACTAAAATGCAACACATACCTCTTTCAGCCTGTAAAACAATTCTAATTCTAACGTTTTCTTGCTGGGTTGGGTGGCTCTTGGCGGGCTTGGTTTGGTGCCATGCAACATTTGACAAAAAATTGCAGTGTTCCAACCTCTATATAATCTCTGACCGTCCCTTCCCAACTTTTATGTGTTTATCATTTATCAACGGTTGTTTAAAGATATTCTATATATTTGAGTGTTGTACGTTGTCACTCGGAATAGAGATAAGGCAGCCAGTATCACATATACATAGTCACAAAGTCAAAAAAAGGCACACCCAAGATAATAAAATTCAATCGACCAATTCTGAGGTTCAAAGCCATTGTATGCCATTGTACTAACGACTGACTCTATTTTAGAGAACCTTCTCCAGCATCAGCCCCACATTTTAAAATAGCTTCTTTGGAACCAAGGCCCAAATCTTCCAAGCACAGACTGTATTTTTATAATTGAAGTTTACGCCGAATGGTGCTGTGGTCCCATTTTTTCATGGCAGAGACTGAGACCCCAGTCAAACAGGCCAGTTAAACACCTGAAGCAAGCGTGAAAGGGTAATGCCAAAACATGCCAAGTCATGTCGGCATGCCGCCTATTACTATCAGGAGATGCTGTCAAAAAGGGCAGCTGCCAAGCGGAACTCGCGGTTGAGGTCCGGCGGGGAATGCTTCCAGCCGGAGCTCGCGGTTGAGGTCCGGCGGGGAACCTTGCCAAGCGGAAATCGCGGTTGAGGTCCGGCGGGGAACACTGCCATCCGGAGCTGGCGGTTGAGGTCTGCGAGGTCTGGCGGGGAACGGTGCCATGGCGGACGCGGAGGAGGAAGGCAGCTGACATAGAATCTAACAACCCTCACCTAACAAGTGGGGAAAAACATATATAGATATATAGAACTTGATTCATTTTCCGGGCCCTTAAACCACCATCGTAACTCCTGGGAGCTGATAAAAACAATCAGACCAGAATGCTTTCAGTTGCGGCCCTGTACAATACCGAAGGGATTACACTACTAGGATTGCCTGTGCAAAATTGATAGTAGGGCTGCTACCCAAGTAGGCTCGGAGGGCATAACATGCCCCAGAGATCTCCAGAGGAAGTTGGGCTTGCCAGTGCACGTTTGCCGTTTGCGTGTAACAAGCCTTTTACAGTATTCGAGTGTATTGCAGGTTCCGAACTGAACACTGCTGTTGAACACCCTAACTGACGTTACTCTAAAAAGTGACTTGAATGTGTGCATTCCCCTCATGCTTGAAGGGCAAGTGCACAACGTTGTGTAAGTGAATCATGCATCATCCATCATCCCGTCTGTGTGGCGCAAACCTTGTTACGACGGGCGCGTTGGTACCAAAATCCAAACGGCACTCTGGCCCAAAGGACAGCTCCATCTTATTTCAAAATGTGCGTCCACAAGTTCTGATAGTGGTATCTCTGGGCAAATGACTGCCACCACCGCGTTGGGAAACTCATGACATAGATTCAAAATAATTTTTTCTGACGCTATGCTGGAACCAATGCGCCAGCCCCACGGCGGGTTTACGACTATGACATCCGCCTGTATCTCCCCAAAGGAGGTGGATCCATCGTGAACATTGATGTCAATCAATCTGCAGCGGGACTGCGCATCTGCCGAAGCAAAATTCTCTTTGGCACGCTCGACAAACTTTGCATCAACATCTCGAGCAAGCACACGCGTGAACGCGCCAGAGGCGGCTGCAACCGCAGCCAAGGTACCGCTTCCACAGCAAGGGTCCAAAAAGTTTATGGGGACAAAGCCCGAACACTGTTGGCTTTCCATTGCGGCGAGGGAAACAACTGCATTTGCAACCCAAGAATCCAGGCCAGCGGAAAAGTGGAATGGTCTCGATTGCCAAGATTGATGCCACGCCAAAGGCAAGCCACATGGCCGCAGTTGCAGCTCGTCTTGGTTTAGCTCTACAGGCACCTCTTGTCCTAGCAGCAGTGCACCACCATTCGCCTCCAAAGCTACCAAATGCAAATGATTTTCGCCACGCTCTTCGCACTCTTGTAGTTTTTCCACAGTATGACTCGCCACATTGGCAACATGGGCAGTGACTTTTAGAGCAAGCACTGCTCCGGGGCAATGCTTCAGTGGCAATGACGCATGATTGGTCGGAGTTTCCCGAAGCTCAACTTCCAACCACCACGATTCGACTTTCATTTGTGTTAAAATTTCTGGCACGTATTGTGCCAATGCTTCAGCAGTTGGGAAAGCTTCGGGCCGATAGAGTCGAATAGGTGGCCTGCGAACCGATGTCAAGTGACGAGCCAACTGGAGAAACTTTGCCTCCGCCTGGCCAGAAACCTCAAGTGCAAACATGCCCACTGCAACTTCGTGGAGGCTGGATGCGCAAACCCCAAGCCCTGTGGCAGCAGCTTGAAACTCCAAGACCATCAGTTGAGCTTCCTTGCTTCTTGTGCCTTGGCAACGCAAAAGCAGCACCCACACATCTGCCTGTGGCAAGCGGCAGATTTTGGAGGTCAGCTCTGATGCATTCCGAGGCATCTCAGAAGGAAGAGCACGACGCCACGCACGCCGACCTTCACCAATGGCGTTGGGGCGCATGGTCAAAGAACTTAAGGTATCTAAGGGGTTGTTACACGCCTTGGGCATACCAGATTGCTTGAGCGTAATCAAATCACACAAGAAATCCTTTGCAGTCTCCGTATTTGGCTGCGAGTTCAGCTGAAAAGTACCCGGAGCCTCAGCCATTAAGGCGATCAAGCGACAAGCCATGCGTGTTTTTCTCAGAGCTTTGGGAGTTTGCGAGGTAACTGTGCCAGGTAACATACCTTCAAAAAGATATGCCAGGTGTGGTGAAGTTTGCGACATGTCCTGCTCATACTGAGGGAAATAACGTATATGTCGAAGCAGCTCCTTTTCGCAAGCAATTGTCAGCCAAGCAACCGGCACTGAGCCGCCTTTGCTTCCTTCAGGATGCTTCACAAAACGATCGGCCATGGCCTTCCTCACTGATTCATGAAACTCCGAGTGCTCTGACAAATTAACCTTGACAGTGCACTCTGGCCCCTGCGCCTCGCAAACCAATCTCACTAAAGGTTCTTGACATTCCTCTGACCTCTCATGCGGCTGATGCACTCTTCCACGTTCTCTGGCCTGCTCTGGGCGCTCCACAGAAAAGCCAGCTGCACAAGTTTCCAACAAGCGCAGCAAGCCGCCAGAACTTGTATCGCCGTGCGACTTCCAATCTTTCCAGAGTGCCGGATAATGACGCCGAAGTTCATCTCCCAGAAGGGAAGCAGGTAAAAGGCCTCCGTGCAGCTTCAGAACTTGGGATGCGGTGTGGATTAAGCGTTGCCTCACACCATCTGTTTCGATATTCATTCCTGCTCAACGCACACGGAATGGAATACAACCTTGCTCAAAAAAGAAGATACCATCGCAACCATGGCCTCCAAGGCACTGACAGCATACACTTAGACTGGGCTTGAGCCAACACAAGCGCCAGGAAACTAGATCGTGTGCGGATGTGTGCGGTAGGATTTTCAGGAATGGTCACAGTGAGAGCATCAATCGCTTTCATTTGTGCTTTTCAGCGGCTCGAGAGGATGAAGCCTTTCCCAGCGCTTTGGCCGTGAGCCACTACTCCAAAACCTGAGGGTGGAGAAACCGGCCAAGTTATTGACCCGCAAAGCACCGGGTGTAACGGCAAATTGGCAAAGCAAAAGCAACTTTGACACGCACACACACACACACTGCAACCTTTGCACCAAAAGAATCACAAAAACTACTTGGAGTGGTACACAAGCGTTCTCTTCAGCCCTGTTGGCCTGAATGTATCGATAGAGGATGCCGCTGCGCTAATGCGTAACAACGACGATTGAAGATCTGATGGAAGTGGCTGAATGACCTGGAGATCGCATGAGGAAGGCCAAAGCATGCTTCTCCAGCGGTTGTGACGTACTTACTAATGTTGCATCCTAATCCGCCGGCCTGCCGGCGTGTTTTGTGGATTGTTTTGGTTAGTGTTGCTTGTATTGGTTAGTATTGCTTGAGTATTGTCTCTCCGCGCGAGATTTTCGACAGCCTGACGCCCCCCCCCTTCCCCCCCCCCCCCCCCCCCCCCCCCTTCCTCCCCCCCCTCCCCCCCCCCCGTAGTGGTGGTGGTAGTAGTAGTAGGTAGTAGGTACTCGGTAGTAGGTGGTACGTAGTAGGTAGTAGGTAGTAGGCCCTAGGTCGTCGGTCATAGGTCGTAGGTAGTAGGTAGTATAGGTCGTAGGTCGTAGGTCGTAGGTAGTAGGTGGTACGTAGTAGGTAGTAGGTAGTAGGTCGCTGGATCAGAATAGACAACCATTGGACTGAGACATGTCGATCGCTGGATCAGAATAGACAACCTCTGATTAGGATTCGTTCCATTTCATTGTAAAACGACTTCGCTTGAAATCCACAGCAACAAACTCTCCCAGCAAAATGTGCAACTCCAATGCACCCACAAGTCTGATTGAGCAGGGTATTGTTGTTCGATGTCATTCTGGGTCTTTCATTTCAAACGGTTTGGAGAACAAAACGACAAATCATGCCAGATCTAGAAATTCTTCGGTCGCTTTGAAGCCTTCTGTGTGTGAAAAAGAATATCTGGTGCGTGTCGCAATCCCTCGAGATGGTCGAAAAAAAGATCTGAAAAGGAAAACATGCACACGGCCAAGTAGTTTGGAAGAAGAATCGTTTTCAAGGTCATGTTTTGTGGATAGTCTTGGTTCGCATTGCTTGTGTTGGTTTCACTTGGTTCCTCTTAGGTGATTCGACTGAGACATGCCGGTTCGGATCGCTGGATCAGAATAGACAACCTCTGATTCGGATTTGATCCATTTCATGGTCAAACAACTTGAAATAAACATCAACAAACTCACCCAGCCAAATGTATGATTGAGCAGGGTATTGTATCATTAAGCTGCCTGCCAATGCGGGCTCGAGCTGGTGGCCGGCGGCATGCCGAAGGCTGTAAATAAGTATAATGGGACGGAATAATACAAAGTTTTCGCATGTGTTCACCAAATGTTTCACACACTCTGATTGGTTTAATTGGTCGGAAAAATATACAGTAAAGTATTTTCACCCATGGGTGCTTTTTTGAGGTTTGTTTGCTTTTCTATCGTTCTGCTATTGCTCACCCTTTAAGATCCTTACTTAACTCTCCTGAGGTTTGCTTGATTCATGGAATTCTGACCTGAAAATTGTTTAAAACACACTTATTAAAATTCAACAGTTTTTCAAGGGGGTAGTACACCAGCCCAGGGGAAGTGAATAATATCAATTGTTTAGGGCCTAAGGGACTGCTACTACGACTACGACTACTGCTACTACCACTGCCACTGCCACTACCACTACCACCACGACGACGACGACGACGACTAATACCACTACTCCTATTCTTTTACTACTACTCCCACTACCACTGTTACTACTACTACTACGACGACGACGACTACTACCACTACTACTCCTACTGCTACTGCTACTGCCTACTCCTACTCTTACTAATAATAACAATAATTGCTTTTGTGGCGGTGAAACTCTTCAGACCCCCTTGATTGTTTGCTAGGGGGGGGGGGGGCCGTTATGCTAATTTAGATCCAACCTTACTTCAATCCACTTCATATTCAACTGCTTGTGCTTCCACAGCGTAGCTCAGCTCGACATGCCCACACATGCTGTCGAGAACTTGAGACCTGCAAATTCCGCCTGAAATGTCGAACCTTAATTGCTCCTAGTAGTAAGGCCAGGAGTCCCTAGTAGCGTCCTTGCTCGTAAGTCTCTATGCTACCAATTTAAGCTGAATGCTCCTGTGAGGGGGCTCAAAGCAATGTGTGCCGAGTCTTCGGACTTTGCAGCGACACTTGTATGGGCGGTGATCCTGACAGGGAAATCCTGTGGACACAACTTCGCCGGGGAGTTTCGCGAGTGACCTATATATATATATACGACTTGTATAGTTACCAGCATCGCTAGTATAATTTCTGTAGGAAATCTTCTGTACACCAAGGCCAACTGGGCTCGTCGTGGGTCTTGGTCTCAAGTATCCTAAACTATATACTTATATATACTCATTTCTGGAATTCTTGTGGCATAGGGCCTGGGGAGCTTCTTTGAAGACCCCCTCGCTTGATTGACATAACAGTTGGCATCTGTAGCAAAACACATGTTTTTTTTCCACAAACCGGCAGTATCTCCAGTGGCCTCCACTTCACGGGCTCTCGCACCAAAGAAGGCCAAGCGATAGCGATGCCTATTTTCGGGCTTGAAGGGGAATCGTCATGATTGAGTGTGTATCACGAAGCCACACACGCCCATCATAAGTCTCTCTCGGGTTGGTAGTCACTGTCAACAAGTTGGGTTGGCTTGACTGTGGCTGGGGATTTCAGGTCCTGCTGTGTGCAAGCAGGTTGCAAAAAGTTTCTCCGGCACCATCGCATGTCCTTCAAACCAAAAATATGACCAAACAATACATAAACTATCATAATGAATCACAAGTATTACAAAACTACTAAAACTCTCTGAATTGATCGAACATACATAACGTATAGCTGCAAACAGTTCAACCATGATATTTGCCGGCTTGTTGGTTCGGTCCAGCATGCAGTTGACTGACGAAAAGTATCCTTCGCAGTGACAATGGCACAAACGCAGTTTGCAATGGCACCTTGTACTTGATTTATTGTACTGACATTGACATGTGCATATGGCTCCCAAAAAGCACGTTTAAACAACGAATCTGCTGCGTCAACTCGTTCAGCTTGAGCTTCTCTTGTCAGTGACTGCCGGATGCCCCACATGTGCCATTTGCAGTCTAATCTGATGTTGGCGGCCCGTGACAATCTGAATCGCCAACCTTATATGCCAAGCTTGGAATTGAGCATGTGCAAGCGCAAGACCGGAAAGCTGAGTGACAGTGACATATAATTAATCTGCAGTGACTCCAGTAGGTTTTCCGACATCGTACAACATCAAGTGCAGCAGTGTACAGTAGCGATAGAATTTGCCAAATGCGAGCAATACGTTGGCACTGACCTTCTGGGGTTATGGTTATTTGACGTTATTTGTAGTATACAATTTCTTCGCAAGGCTCGAACCCCCCAAAGTGAAGGAACCAACTTCACAATGTGCCCTATCATGTCGCAGGTATCCACATTAAGACGGTGGAGAAAGGCCAAGCTGCAGGCTCACTGCCTGACCAGCCAGCTGATGACCATTTGCCAAGAGCTTGGCCTTCGAGAGTGCCACCCGCCCTGCCGGTGCAATGATGCTTCCTGCTTGGCGGCCTGTGCCAAACCAATGCACCTCGTGCGCCACTCCCTCCATGCGAAAAAACAACCGGTCAACAGGAAACAAACATTGCCAAAACGAATCCAGGAAGTGTTGCAATTCTGAAAGTCTTTCTCAAATATGACATGCAAAGGCTGAGGCAACCGCTCCACTGGATTGAAAGGCCCGGCCGATAGGTTTTCGATCTTTTTGGTCCGTGCAGAACGCGCACTATCACTAGCCACTATGAAATCTACGAAATGGCGCATGAGGTCAAGGAACCGCCGCGCATGTGCTGAAGCTCATCAAAAAGCTTTTCTTTGGCTTGATTTAGTTCAGCTTGGCGCTCTTCCATCTGTTGACGTTGTGCAGCCACTAAAGCAAATTCATCTTGCAAAGTCTTGATGTTCCTCCGGGTGAACTCGACTTCTATCTGTGTCTCTCGCCCTGTCCAAGTGGACACTTCCCGCTGAGAAGCATCCAATACCTTAAAGAATTCGTCGCAAGGTTCCTCAAACCTGCTTTGACTTTCCCGACTTTCCAATCTACTATCCAATTGCTTGAGAAAAGGTGCCGATGGACGAAACTCCTCTGCATCCACATAGCTGCCTGCTGCAACTTCCGGAGGCTGTGCTGCAAAGGCGACGGTGTCCTGACGAGCACCAGCTGCGAACTGCTCTGCCAAGTGGCCTGAAAGGTCGGAACCTAAGTTTCCAGACCCAAATGGCCCCAACTCTGGAACTTTTGTGGGACAAATTTGCTATATATATATATACATATTTCGATGAGGTATTCTTCACGAGTTTCCTTCATTGAGTCTTGCTTACATAGATTTGGATTCCTAGAGCAGGACTGGCCAATGACATACTGGACCCATACTGAAACCAGTTCGAACTGACCAACAGCTTGAAATGCATCGCGCATCCACACATCCACACATACATAAAATCAGAAAATATATACAAACAAAACATTACAGTACACTGCGCAACACTACATGATATACATTGTATACACACATTGAAGCATACATACGTGCATTTTTGACAAACCGGTTTCCGATGGATCTTTGCTTGTACGTACATATATACATACACACATTACGGCCAGTGCATACATTGCATGCACGCAAAACGCAAACATACATTACATTGAATTAAGCTAAACTACATTACGTTACATCAATACATACAAACATACACGCATGCATACATGCTACATGCATACATCCACCCACCCATACATACTTACATTACATTCCAATATACTACAAACCATGCATGCATGACAAACGTGCCGTACATACATGCATGCATGCATACATACATACAACACACAGGAACATAACATAAGAAAACAAGACATACATACATTACATGAAACTACCTCACACTACATTACATTGAAGAACATACATTACTGTATGCGTAGCATATGTAATACTAGAACTTAGATTTCAAGACCTGCCTGGATCTCAAGACTCAAGACCTCTAAACCTCCATCTTTAGATCTGTGCGTTTCTACACCTCTACACCTGCAGATCTGTCTGGATCTCCAGGCCTTTGGATCTTTGTAGATGTAGACCTCTCTGAGCATCTCAACTGTGACCTCTCTGAATTTCAGGCCTCTAGGTTTCTGTAGATGGATCTCAAAACATCTCTGAATCTCGAAACCGCAAGACATGTGGATGGCTCACCACAGGTCTGCTACGTTGGAATGGCAATTTCTACCCTGGGGTTGCTCACAAAACAAAGGCCTGCTACCTTAGAATGGCAACTTCTTCCTCTAAGTTTTAACCTCGCAAAAGGTCTGCAACGTTGGAATGGCTCCTTCCTCTTCTAAATTTTGCCCTCAGGTGGCTCACAGCAGGTTTGCTACCTTGGAATGGCACCTTCTTCGTCTAAATTTTACCGTCAGGGTGGCTCACAAAAAAAGGTCTGCCACGTCTGGTGATAAAAGGTCTGCCACAGTGCTTCACAGGATGTATGACCAGGAGATTTCCAAATCACCTTGAACGCATCTTGCCTCGAAAGTACAAGCCCAAGGACCCGAAGACCAAAGGACCAAGGGACCACCAAGGGACCAAAGGACCAAGGACCAGGACAAAGGAAGCGACCAGGGAACCAGCAAACCAGGACCAAAGGAGTAGGGGGAATTTTCTTTTTGATACGAATTGAGTTTTGTTGATCGGAATCAATTGGTCTATTGATAGGAATCTATTTTATTGGTGATGTTTTCGTTAAATCGAAAACGAAATTACGTGACGTTGTTGGACATATGAAATTACATGACCTCGGGGCTATAATAAACATCGAAGCGAAGGGGGAAAGGACCTAGCACCCCACCCAGGGCACGCACTCAGTGACTCAGTGGTGGACGTTGCTTGGCTGGGGTGGCACAGCGAGGCCAGTTGTTTTTCGCACCTTCTAGGGTGGGAGACATCCGGTTGCAGGCAGTGCATGCCTGGGAACCGCATAACGTATTCTCTTTTCGATCTCTCCAGCTACTCTAGTGTTAACTTGGGGGTGTTGAACCTTAGGGAACCTGTCATGTCTTGTGAGTTCCAAGAGTTTGGTTTCGGAGGTGGTTTCAGCAAGTTGTCATTCTGGAAAAGTTGCGATCAAGCACAGCCGGAAAACATGACAGCTCAACCAAGATGTAGGGGCAAGCTGTCCTTGCAGGACTCTGTCATCTGGCACTTCTGGTTCAGGTCTGGTGGTGCCCACGGAACTCTGGAGCTGCCTATACAGTACAGGGTCTAAATTTGAGCAAGCCAGTAACGTTTTCAGGCGTAATAGGATAGCCAACCCAAACAATGGCCTTGCCTTCTGCAACCCATCCATCCATCCATCCATCCCAATCCATTCCCATTCAATCCAATCCAATCAATCCCATCCCATCCCATTTTTACATTACATTACACTATATACGCTACATCAGATTACATTACATTACTTAACTCACTTACTTTCTTACTTACTTCCTTACATGCTTACATGTGTACAATAGCGTTAGACTACCTTACAAACCTTACAGTACCTCACTTTGCATTGCATTAACATTATATATATATATTATGCATTTCGCACATACATCAAACATACATGTCTTTATATGTATATATATACAATTATATACAGCATACATACATGCAAACAATTGCAAACACACACCCAATGTCTTACCCTTGCGTACCCAAGAGTCTGCAGTGCTTGCGTTCAAGATAACTGAGGTCGCAACCCAACATGGTTCCCCCTGAAGACTCGTTGGCGTCCGGCGACAAGAACTGCTGCTGTGTCTGAGCACCAACAGGTCCAAGTGACCCATGTCGGGAATCTCTGGACTTGCCGGAACAGCTGGAATCAAATCCTGACTGGGCCTGTCCCATTAAGAGTTCATCCTGTCGAAGACCCTCAAGACCACCAAGGCTAGAAGCCTCAGAGTTGCGGCTAGAAGCCCCTGATCCAAAGCCTGGCTGAGCGTGGCCATGAGCTGGCGCTAGCCGAGAATGGGGAGGGGAAGAGACTTGGCCCGGTGAAGGATTCAGCCCCACAGAGTCTACAATGGTAGAAGTCTCGGATGACAACTCTTCACTCCCTTGCACCCTGGAGATGGAAGCATAGGGTGGAGAAGAATGCCGCCGACCACTGCTTCCCTCAA